CCTAAAAGGAAACGTTCAAGACGTCATAAGACCTCTAAGGCGTCATCAATGAAAGGGGATGAATGCCAGGCGTGCAGCATCACAGTTTCTAAAACTGATTCAGCGTTTGAATGTAATTTTTGCAAACGATGGGTGCACTGCCGTTGTGACAAAGAAGTACCGAAAGCATACTATGAGTTTATGAGAAATAACCCATGCCCATGGTTTTGGTACGTGTGTCCACTTTGTCGCCCTGGCATAGTCCCACAAAGCGTGTCTGCGGATAGCAGAAATAACATGCTCTTGTGCCCCAACACAGTATCATGCAGCTCCCCCCTGCTAAACTCGCACTGCCGAAACTGGTCAAAGACTTAAAGAAGGACACACCAGCCCTACTGACTGGAAATGCCAATTCTCACAAGGTGAAGATTAGCAAGGTGCCATCCACATCAAGGGAGGGCAAAATTACAAAGGCACCACTTGCATCCACTAGCAAGCCTGGCAACACAAAAAAGGCTGTCCAGGTACCGACGAAGCCTAATGTTGCTAATGATGCAAAGGACTGCAAGAAGCCGAAGGCAAAACCTAAGTCTGAGGGTAGTCGGTCTAACTCTCTCATCCTCTTTAACGTACCTGTGAGCACGGATAGCTTGCTCGAACAACGGGCCCTGTTTGATCAGGAACAGTGGTCCAACCTGTGTGGCAAACTAGGTCTGAACATTAGTTCAGCAAAACTGTGCAGACTGTACAGGGGTGTCCACACGCCTCAGGGTAAGCCACCCCCATTACGGGTTACACTGGACTCTGCCGAAGAGGCCGAAAAAGTACTGTTAATGGCTCAGGTACTAGCCCTGGACAGAAGTTCTAACATAAGAGCGCGGCAAGATAGACCATGGGCCGTCAGAAATATGGCGAGGGAGTCACCGGAACTGATGCCTTCCACCTCTATGGTGGTACACGGTGTTCCGGAGCTGGAAACCGGCACTGCTTGTGAAAAACACATGCACGACGTACAACAATGGAGATGGCTGTCATCTCAGATGGCCCCTGGCGCTTCTGGAGCCATCTCCATTTTCCGACTACCTCGTCCCGCTCATCTAACATTGATTAACTCTCCAAAGCTGCTGTGTGTCACATTCAACTCCCCGGAGCAGTTGTCCATATCACTTCAACGGTGGTATGAGACCAAGGGAAAAATTGGAGGACACATCCGATGCTGTGAAAGCAGACCCAGAAATATAAGGAGGCAGCAAACTGAGGCCTTAATACGACCCCAAGCTTCGGTGACACTAGAGCGATGCAGCTCTGAGAATAATAGTCTGTGTCTCCCAAGTGTCCTGCCTAAATCCATTGAAAAAAACTACAACGGGCCGGTTCTATCGGAATCGGCCAACTAGTTCCAACATCAAGTCCCCCACCAGCAGACGGTTTCACGTCAACTACCCCACAACACTCTGAGGTTGTTAGACTCACTGTCAGTTGCCTATATAGCAATGTGAGGGGGCTGAGAGGGAAAGTAGGTGAACTCCGAAATCTCCAAGCACACCTTCAACTGAAAATAATCATTCTTACTGAAACGTGGCTAAACCCCACTATCGCCGACAATGAAATCAGTATAGGTGATATGGTACTGGTCAGGAGAGACAGGGATAATAAGGAAGGAGGGGGAGTTGCTATATACTTTGATAGGCAACTTAAATGTGTGCGCGCAACGGACCCACCACTTATCGAACTCCCAGACTCCATATGGTGTCATTTCACCGTAGGCCACACCAAGCACTTACTGGGTGGCATCTACCGATCTCCCACCTGTGGGGCAGAGCACAATCAGCTACTGCTCAGCACTATCACAGGAATACGAGATTTGGGTTACGACCAAATCACCATAGCTGGAGATTTCAATGCTCCATCACTGAACCTTGGCTCCGGGTGTGCTAAGGGAAAATTTGGCCGAAACCTACTGCAAACTATTCGAAACACGGGACTGACTGAGAATGTTGGAGACGACACTAGGTGGGGCCCTAGTGGAAAGTCATCAAAACTAGATTATATTCTAACTAGTGACCAGCTACTCGTCGAAAAGGTCCAGATCATGACTCCTCTGGGAAGCAGTGACCATGCAGTCATAGGTTTCGATCTTGTCCTCCGTGAGCGTTTGCAATGGGATGTTACGCGACCATGTCTGTGCTACAGCAAGGCTGACTATGCTGAAATGCGGAGGCTCTTGTCCGACGCAGACTGGCCCTTAGCATGGGACGACCTATCTGTGGATGAACACTGGGAAGTGGTAAAAAAGATTATCCATGCAGCAATCTCGGATACCGTCCCTTTAGTCACAACACAGCCTAAGAGAAAGACGTCATGGTTGAAGAGAGGCACGCAACGTATTCTGCAAGCAAAGCGGAGGGCTTGGTTTACGTGGCGTGTATCTAAGAGTCAGACCGACCATGATGCATACCTCGAACTCAGGAACCGGTGTAATGCAAGAGTTAGGAGGGACAGAAGGTCATTCCAGGCTAACCTTGCTAAAAAACTCCTATCAAACCCTAAAAACTTGTACCGATTCATGTCGGAAAGAAAACCGACAAACCAAGGGGCATGCGCCTTAGTAGGCCCAAACGGTCAATATCTCACTAGTCTGGAGATGGCTGAAACATTCAGTTCAGCCTTCGCTAAACAGCTAAACAGCAATGTGGATATTACAGTTACGGACCAAAATGGTGGCACCACTATTTCAGAGGAGGAAGACCTAGCGACTACTCCCCAAATAAACCCCGCAATAGTACTAAGGAAGCTACAGCGACTCATACCTGGGAAGTCCCCAGGTTGTGATGACATCAGGCCATCTGTTCTGAAACAGTGCGCCGAGGCTCTCTGTAGACCCCTGTGCGACTTGTTCCAACACTCAATGGATTCGGGGACCCTGCCAAGGGAGTGGAAAAGAGCCATCCTTTCTCCAATCTTCAAGGGTGGGGACAGGCAAAACGCTGCTAGCTATAGACCAGTAGCTCTACTCCCAGTGGTATCAAAAGTACTGGAAAGTATTATTGACGACCACATCAGGGAATATTTCGATAGGACTAATATACTGCATGAAGCCCAACATGGTTTCAGAAAAGGCAGATCCTGCGTCACTAACCTACTGTCAGCTTGGGACGACTGGACATCATGCTGGGACTTGAACGTACCAGTCCATGTGGTCTTCCTAGACTTTGAGAAGGCATTTGACACTGTTCACCATGACCTTCTCCTACATAAAATAAGCCAGGCAGGCATAGGTGAGCCACTTCTGTCATGGTTGAAGGACTACCTAGCCGACAGGCAATTTTGCACTAAGGTTAACCGAGTCCGATCATCTTGGCACAGATCGTCATCAGGAGTGTCGCAGGGTTCTATCCTAGGACCACTGATGTTTTTGATTTTCATCAATGATCTACCACGCCGTCTGAGCTGCCCGACTCTCCTGTACGCTGACGACGTAAAAATATGGAGGGCGATAAAGTGTCCGGAGGACTCAGATAGGCTACAGGAAGACCTAAACCTTCTGGAAGACTGGGCGGTGGCCAGTGGCATGACTTTCAACTTGAAAAAGTGCAAAGTAGTGAAGTTGCGCACCTGTAGACTGCAGAATGCAAGTTACACCCTGTGCAATGAAAGCTTGTCCTGCACAACGTCGGAACGCGACTTAGGTCTAGTTCTAACGGAAAAAATGGACACAAGCGTAAATTACACAGGGGATGTAGCGAGGGCATATGCGGTCATACACTTTACGCATAGACAGTTAGGTGCACTCACTCCTGAGCTCTTTCTAATGTTGTACAAAACATACGTCAGGCCACACCTTGAGGTGCATAATATTATTGCACCCCCAATGCTGAGAAGAGATGCCAACCTCTTGGAAAGAGTCCAACGACGGGCAACAAAAGGAGTGGTTGGTCTCCGAAACAAACCATATGATGAAAGGCTGAAGAAATTAGGCCTGTTCACACTTAGTTACCGTCGGCTTAGGGGGGATTTGATTACTGCCTACAAAATAACAAATGACCAGAATCACCCAAACAAAGGTGTTCTGCCATTGAGTAGGTATAGGCTTCCACGTGGAAATCCCAGAAGGATAGCTCACCAGAGGGCAAGGACCCGGGTGCGCTCCCACTTCTTTTCACTGCGGGTTTGTCGTCCCTGGAATTCCTTACCGGCAGATGTAGCTATGGCACCGTCTTTGGACGCCTTTAAGCGAAGGCTGGACAACCATGCAGCGATACAAGGACTGCATCCAAATGGCCTATCTCCTTAAAATCGCATTTACCAATCAGGGTAGATAATTAAACTCGTCATTTTACTTCTTTACATTCTCTCCCGTCTTACTCTCCTGACAACTTATTAATATTATAATTACTATTATTATTATTATTATTATTATTACTATTACTGATATATATATTATTCTTCAAACTTCATGAGCTGACTGTTGTTACGTTTCCTATTTTCGTTTCTGTCTCTTAGTCTGAATAGCTTCACTAATTATATCTATTATTATTATTATTATTACTATTATTATTATAATTACTATCTCTTTTCTCTTGTCGACAATACCGAAGGACTAACTGGCGAAAGGATCAACTCCAATCACAGTAGTAACAGTCTTAACATACCTCATACTACAAACCACATATAATTAATCCCAGCACTACTCCCTTTGGAGTCAACCAAAGCTACGACAGTCGAGTGGCGGGACAAGCTACGCAGAAGTTTACCGAAGATCAAGAACCTATACCTCACAATCAAGAAGCGAGCACAAAGAAATCAAATTGGTTTATACTAGCTCGTAAAAACGATATTGGATATTGGAACTCGCCATAAGGATGAACAATGTATGATCTAACAATACTCCAAATTACCATATGAACACATTGTTTATATGAGATTGGAAGCTATGATGTAAAGTGAAATCTTTTCTCAGTCTAAGTTTATATTTTTTATTTCATATAGTCGGACTTTCTAAAAGGTCAGGGCTTAAGTTTATGTCATGGTTGTTACAGCAACGACCTTGGAACGATTTCGAACTAGGGTTTCTTGTTTCGCTAAAATTATTAGTGTAAGTAGCCGAGACTAGTACACAAAATTCTTTCTTTCATGAGGCTAACTGAAGAAACATTAGGTTATTTACATATTCTCTATAAATAATATCGGTCATAATGTTACTGGAAGTTATTGGAAGGTATAATATTGAAAACATAGCTACCTTGAAGCCACGCGTGTAGTGCTACTACAAGTTATATTTCGATGTTTCACAGAATTGTCTAAGATATCTGAAGGCATGATAAAGGAACGTTTCTGTTGTGTTTATCTATCCCTAGCTTACTATAATTCTGAATTAAATCCCACTAATTCTGAAATAATTTTAACATTCTATAGTGAGTAAATTCTGAATCTGTTCTGAAATGGATCCTTTAATGGCACAGACTGAAACTCAGTGCTGTTTTTCAGCATGACTGGTACTGATACCGCATCATTTTCTTTTTCTAGGCATTTTCAGGAGTGGATCAGAACTTACTGGGCTTGCTAATCAGCGCTGTCTCAGCCTTCACAGGACATATTATGCACGGACTAGCGTTACTTCAGCACATAGTGTGTAGATGGAATCTTCATTGACGATAAAAAGGCATTATCGAAGAATAGGTTAGAATAAGCTGTGAGCTTGGCAGTTTAAGACTTTTAGATATCAAATCTCGTAATATTCTATTGTTATATACATTTGATTTCTTGTTTAGAGACTTTTGAATTAGTTCTAAGTTTTCAGTACATCTATCGGTTTTATTCTTTATAATCTTCTTCATCATAATAAAGAGGTGTCAGGTATATCGATATCCGTATCAGCATCTGCAAAGGCAAAATACTACAGGTTTTTGTTATTTATATGTACCAGCCAAAGGTAAATGGTTAAATGTATTGCCATCAATGCTTACGCAAAAGCCACAGAAAGTCAATTTTTCTTGCATTAAAGAGTTCCTTCTAGGAGCTTTTAGTTCTTCATTACGTTCTTTGGCATGTATCATTAGTTTTATATATATTTCGAAAGATTCACCCGCTTTTACTGCATTTTCCAAGTGATCTAAGCACCATGTTGATATACAAGATATAATGGAAACAACAAACAAGATATTGCCACCGTCCAATACTGCTTCTTCTCAACCGCATTTAAAATACTTGCTACCGTAAACAGTTTTCTTTAATTAGTTGCTTATGGCTTTCACAGTTCAACTGTGGGTACTGACCTGTAATGTTTAGTTCGTCTGGTTAAACTGAAGACACACGGTCAAGTGTCCACATTATTTGGCGTCCTGTCGTAACAGATTTGGTTATTCGTGAACGCCTTCCAGCTTCTTAGGTCGTCATCACCTGTCGCCATCTCTGATCTAAAAATATATTACACATTTTAGATGATCAGTATTTTGTTTCGATTTCTTTATGGTCTAAGCTAAACAACTAATTTGGGAGTTAATGTAGACTTAGGAATGCATCTAAATGGCAGAAACAGTTCATTCATTTATTTATTTAAGTAATAATGCTCAGCTTGGTTTGAATAACTATGTGGAGTCCATGAGTGATACTATTTCTACCGTTTAGCAGCAATGTGTGATATATGTTGCTTGTAATAGCGAGAAACTCCCTCACTTTTGCTTGGGTGGACCCACTGGATTTGTTTGGTAACTTATTTAGGATGCCTTTGTTGCTTGATTCCTCTCAACATCATGTAGTGGTAAATAATTCTCCGAAATTCGCAGTTTACAGCATCCTCCACTCAACATTGATTTTGACCTTCGATGTTTAAGTCAGATCATCAATTTGAAAGTCCGTGATCAATCACCCACACCATTTGGCACATTACATTCAGCTACTTGTGAACGATCCCTAGCTAGCTAAGCAATCATCATGCCATGATTTCGGTCCCAAAATGTATCTCGTATTTCAAACAGTCACTCGGTGTTTTTGTCATTCTTTGATCCGAGCAAAACAAATGCAATAGGAGTTGGAAGATAAGAACTTGAGTTTATGTACATTGTACTCTGGATAAACGTCACCAACCTTCTCTGCTAGACTGGTGAGCTTCATGACCTGCTATAAATTACTTCAAAGTATAGTTCGACTAATTTCGCTGTGTATTTCCTCAGGCTTATTTACACATTTGTAAAAAGTACTGTTTTTGTTTGATCTGCTGCCTTCTGTTAATCTGGAATTAGAGTTTGCTGTTGAAATACTTATTTCAGTATACCTTATTTTAAAACTGATATTTTATTGCAGTCGAGTGAAGATTAAAAAAAGTAATTTTTTCTTTCCATTTACTGTAGTATGCCACCAAAAAAGAATTCAAAAGTGAGATTAAAACTTAATTTTATTTGATAATACAAACTTAGAGCGATACAGCAATAGTGAGATCAATGACTGAAATGATTAAAGACTATGAACATCGAGTTGAGCATTATGAAACAACAGTATGTAATTCAATTAGAAAGTGTTTTAAAAAAGCTTTGGAAGAAGATCGTCCTGTGACAAGAGTAAGCTAAATTATATCTTCACAGCAAACTTTTTTCATATGAATGACTATAATATTAATCGAATATATTAAAGTTTTTAGTTGATCCACAAGATCGTCGTATAGTTGAATATTGGGACGATGACAGACTGATTGAAGCTCTTAAAGAAGACACCGATGAAGGTGTAACTATCTAGAAGAAGAAAGTTAGAAGTAAACCAGTGAAAGAAGACAAACCATTAGTTAAACTGTTACCGTTAATTGAATCTATACGTGCAAGACGATATACACTGATACAAGAATTATTTGTATGGGACTGTCATGTTGAAAATGATGACATGGTAGCATTGGTAAGTGAAATGTAAACTTGCCTCATTATCTTATTGTTACTGACAGTGTAGCATAAAAAATTCAGTAATGGTTAGCGAAAACTACTACTAAACTGATCATAAGTTTCAAAATTGGGTCATCTGAAATATTCTGGTAGTTTCATGCAATAAAATGTTCATTTTTGCTATTAGATAGTGTTTTATAGGGATGAATCTTGTTATTCAATTATTTCTGATCTTATTTAATTGACTTTCAATTGAAGTCAAAGACAAGCCTGAGTTATTGTACTTTTTTATGTTTCATTACTCACCTAACATGACATTAAAGTGTAATAGAAACTTGTAGTTGTTAGAGGCTTTTCTGTTTGACTGATTTCATCGTGAGTGGCCAAAGAATCCCTCAGAAATTGGTTATTCAAAATAAAAACTGGGATCAGTATCCCTTTCTTTCAGTTGACAAACTTACTTAAAATGACTGTGAATACTGTATTTATTTAGTATGAATATTACTGACAAAACCACTAGTTCTTAATCTCCTCATAATTGTAAGTCTATGAACGCTTACTGTTTGGTATTATAATGTGAGGACAAAAAAAGTCATGAAAATTTGTTGTGCATTCTTTTGTGTCCATAGAAAAGGTTTATCGGTTATATGATTTCATTATGAGCTAATATAGGTTAGAAAACTGTTGCAAAAAAAGCAACAAGGAGTACTAAACAGCTCTTTCGTCCTAATTTGTGACTCTCCACTGTACGAAGTTGAACTCATGGACCATTAGATCGGGTACCAGTGGCTTACTGGTCTACGAGCTAACCTCTTATTTGAAGGGTTCTGAGTCTGAATCCCGGTGGGTGGGTACTGATGAAGAGTCACAAACTGGGACGAAACAGCTATTCAGTAATCACCTCTGGTTTTCCAATGGTTCTCTAAATGATGTCTGCTCATGATAAAATCCTGTAACCAATCAAATCAAATGCCCGCAAACCAACACTTGGAAAAGGTTTATCTTTGACCTTTAAGAAGGCTGTCTTCTAAGCCAGTCAAAACTCTATCACTGATGAATTCGTAAACTATACAGTGAAGTTGTACAAAGTTGATTCCGACATTTATCTCTTACTCATTATTTAGTTCTAAGATTTTTGGGTGTGGTGGAGGTTATACTTGTGATTGTAACTTACTAAAATACTTTCCAAATATTAATCATGGTATTTGTAAAATACTGGAAAATGACTGACTAAAGGAAAGGTATATATCCAGTCCAAATATTTATTTATTCTTCAATAAAGTAATTCAAACAAAAGTGAGTTATTTTTCCACCTAAGATCTTGGATGACAAAATTCACTGTTGGGCTCCTAGGTGAAACTAGAAAGGCTCAACCAGCTAGTTATAAAGACCTATTTTATGGGGCCTATAAGAAGCTGAAAAGTTTTGTTGTTGTTGTTTTGGTTTGAAATCTGCTGCCTTAGTTAGCTGATTGCTTATTCTCACCATATTCCAGCGTTTCTCAATGAATTGTTGAATAGAGAAGGATTTCTAGTTTGTTTGTTTTTTCTTCTCTTTATTCTTTTACAGAGTGGACTGTTGATTAAAGGATGTTATGCTATTACGCGTCTTGAACTAATTGACTGTTTTCTAGACGCCAAGAGTATTGGTACACTAGTCGCTAATACTGCAGTTTCCAAGTCATTACGTGAATTATGCTTAGATTTTAACGAGTAATATTTTGTGTAAAGTTTCCAAAATATTTATGTTATTTAAAGTTTTAATACTTAGTTGTTGGTGTAATCCCACATATATATTTATTATGACACTTGTAACACACTTGGTCGACAATGGACATTGCACAGACGCCAACACAGCCTTCAGGGTTATATACCAAATTTTGAGGTTGTTATTATGCACAGTTCGCTGATTTCTCCTACATATAGCTGAAGCTATATGTTGCAATAGGACCGACTAAACCGGAACTTTGTATCCAAAATGAATACGCTCGAAGGCTGTTCCTACTGCGGCGAAAATTGGATTATGATGTCTTTTCCCCTTATCCCTCTTGATTTTTTTGTTTTGCTTATTAATACAATTAGTATTTAGATTTTAAACAGTAGGGTCTGTTGTCTAAAAATTAATGGAACGAACGATGATGATAACATTACAAAAGGATGAAGATGAAATGAAATTGAATGAATTCAAGTGATAAAATAGAATAATATAAAATAACATAACTGTGACCAAGGTAGAGAAAGAGGTTTAACAAAAATACTTTCGAACACATAATTTAGCTTTCTGTCGGTGTTTCGGTGGAGCGTCAGCTGTGCATAAGTGGAGAAAACGTAAGATTTTGGAGTGGTTCGATTTGGTCCTGTAGCTAACTTTAAAGGATAGATCACGGGGGTGGGTGAGTGTTCTGAATGACCTGACTGCAAAAGACTCTTGTGAATTTGAGGCTTAGTTGTCGACTAAACCATTCCGAGTGCTACTTCATACCTTTTTCCTTAATGTAAATACGACTGTACAACTTGAAAATGTAGTCGTTGAGAAGAGATATTTCTTCGCTGAACAAAAGCTGTGTTTTTCATTATGAATTAGTGGGCATGCTTTGTGATATTTAGTAGACACTGACAGTATGTACCGCAACGGCAATAACCAAGGCAGAATAAGTAAAATGGCAAATTAAAAAGCTGTAATTGTTAACATTATGAAATGAATGTCAAATAAGTCTGACATTCTCAAGAATTGGTCTGTTGGGATTCTATTTGTTTCAGGTTCAGCTATGGACTGATATCAGTTAGAGAACCATTGAAAACCAGCTTGGAGTACTGGACAGATGTTTCACCCTAGTTTGGCACTTACTGGCAATACGCACCCACCATCATGGTTCGAACCCAGGGCCTTCCGTTTACAAGGCAAGCTGGTTCATATACCTTTCAGCCACTGGCCAACCCATGAATTCTAACTTCTAGCTATTCGTGATTTTAGCATAACTGACAACCAGTGTCACTGGCGGCAAATACGTGGTCTATCCTGAAAAAGAACAGAACAAACTAATTATTGAAAATCAATCCGATGCTCGTTAGTAACTGGTTGTTGGACAAAGTCGCCTGAAGTTCTAGTGAGAAGTCGTGACCAGTGGAGTACACCCGGCCGGATGTGAGGACATATACTCACCGATGACACTAGTTGGTGGTGGCGCTAAAATCACAAATTGCTAGAAGTTAGAATTCATGGGTTGGCCATTCAATCAGGTCCTAGTGGCTGAAAGGTATACGAACCAGCTTGCCTTGTAACCGGAAGGTCCTTGGTTCGAATCGCGGCTGCGTGGGTGGTGAGTTGAATGACAGTGCGATATTATGCATTTGGTTTCGGCATCATTCAACCGATACAAAGATTGTATTACAGTTTACATTTCGTAACGAGTCAGCACCAGTTATATAGGTTATTGAAAACTCAGGGAACAATGGACAGCTGTTTCCTCTTAGTTAGGGATTTTTCATAAGTGCACATCAAAGATCCCAACGAGGATAGAACTTGGAACCGTCAGGTTATTAGACCAAGCTAGCTTACTATACAGTCACTTGTTTAGGAATTTAAGTGATCTGTAAATTCTCATGTTTCAGTCAGAAATTCCCTTTTGAAGTGCATTCATTTCGTTGATAAAAATACTGAACAAAAATGATAGAATTAAAACCAGAGAATTAGATAATAGAGAGCTAGTACTGAAACTACTAGATTTGAAATTTTAAAAAATATATCATGTTTTCTAGATACGATGCAATTATTGGAATATTTTGACTAAGTTGTAAAAAATTCGTGTTGAAAATGCAACCGGAATGTTAAGAGTTCAGGCTTGGGTTAGAAATGGTGTTCTAGAACTATTCACCTTTACGGTTAGCTCCATCCACTGTTCTTCCCTCACCAATATCAGATATCTTTTGTTATAATTCCATGTTTTTTGCTTGCTTTTCCATTTTGAATCCTAATAACACGTTAATTTTTAAGAATACTCGACAAGTTCACTGATACAATTGCAAATTTTAAGAAAAATATAATCAGGACTTCAAATTTTATTTAATACCGAGACGGAACTTTACCACACTTATAAAGAAGCACCAACAACTCTGGAAATTTCCATCCCTCTCTCTTAAAACTCCATATTATGTCTGGCTTAGTCACGATTAAAGTTCCATCCTCTACGTTTAATAACTACTAATACATTGTGTCCTCTAATTGGCCACCAGTTAGCCACCAGCTGTTACTCTAGTGTCATTTTCTAAGTGAACTGAAAGCTTTTGAGTGACAAAACATAGTATTGATATACTGTCCCACTACAGAATGTGATAACAGACGTAGATCTCACACTCCAGGCGTTATGTTGACTTTTTAAACAACCATTTTTGCATAAAACTATATATATACTACTGATTTAATGGGATAAGTAGTTGTATACCACTCACATCAACTAGTAGTGCTTGCTGTAGCCAGCCAGATTGAAGTGAAGTAAACACCTAACAGTCATTCAGCTTGTTTTAGGCCAGGCACATAAGTGTGGTTTGAGTCATTTCAGAGAGCTGGGAAACAATGCTCAGCCAATTACTGATATGTCACCCAGTTCAAGTTTCTAACACAAATCATAATGATCCATTAGCCAAATAATTTAGATTTGATCTAAATATTTTGTCATTTGCAGTGATTATCTCATTTGAGGGAATTAGAATAATTTTTGGTGAGAGTACCAAACATATGGGGGTTGTAAGTGTTAGGACAATCGTGAAATATAATATTAAAACCCGCCACTACTAATTCGTTTTTTAGGCAATATAATAATAATATTATTATTATTATCCCCTTGGGTTCCGAGTGGGACATAGGGCTTCAACAACATTTCCCCCACTTTTTTCTATTTTTTGCTGTCCTCTTCAACTGGGCCCACTATTGCTTATGATCTCTCATCGCCTCCTCGCCACATGGTCTCCGCCATGTCACCCTTGAACAAAAGCTCAATTCGTTGTTTACCATTTGGGTTCCGATAGACCGATGGCCCGGCGTGTAATGTCATTCGACGGTCTCCTCACCATATGTCCCACCTATCTGTATTTTCTTCCGGATATTTCCTGAGCTTTAGGTTGCTAGTTGATTTCTCATTGCTTATTCTTTGCAGTCATTTTAATCTTCAACATACAGCCAACGAAGGCAGCTGTTGATAAAAGTCTTCAACCTGTTAGTAGGTTTTGATCCATATTGAAGAACTGACTGATTTCAGATTTATGTTGAAAATCCTAATCTTTCACTTTCTTCTAAGGGTATAAGACATCCAAACTCACTTCAGGTTGATGAAGGTGTATCTTGCCACTCCGATTCTGGTTGGCTGGCTTTGACATCTTCATTCGTGCCGTATACCTGTGGTTGAAACCGCGCGCTTCCTAGATAAGTGAAGGAATTAATCTCTTTCAAATCTTTCCCGTTGAGATGGTAATTGGTGCTGGTTTTTGTTGCTGTTGGTTGATTATCTTCATCAACTCTGTCTTCTCTATGTTCACTTGGGATTCTGTCTTCACTTCTGCCAGTTTGTTGGTTTTCGCCTGCCTGCCTGCCTGTAAGTCTGCAAAATCCAGATCTCCTAGAGTCTTCTTATTGTCTCACGTATTCCTATCTTCTCGCTACCCACGCACAATCTGACGCATAATCCAGTTCCCAACAATTAAGAATATCATCGGTGATAATAGGCAGGTACCCCTGTCTCACTCTTGTATTCACTTCAGAGGCTTTACTGAGTTTTCCGTTGTGGATCACTTAACAAGTGACATTGTCATGTAGCTGTCGAATGAGGTCGATGAAGACTTGGGCACTGCACGCCGCAGTGTTAAAGTAGTTTCCAAATTACTTCTTGGTCAACGCTGTCTATTGAAGGTCTTTCCGAAGTCGATGAGGGAAGCTGAGTAGAGGTTTGACTGCCATCTTATGCGGTGGTTGGTGACGATGTGTAGAGTTGCAATTTGATCAACACATGATTTGCCTTTTCTGAGTCCAGCTTATTTCAGTTGAAGGAGTTTTGCATCCAATGGATTTTTTATTCTCTCTTGGATGATGAGATTTAGTATTTTACTTGGTGTGGATAAGAGAATGATTACAAGCTGGTTCTTGCAGCATGAGGCGGAATTCAACCTTTTTTTGGTAGCCTGAAAAGGTAGCCAGCATTCATTCTGTTATGGTGCTAGATCTTTTGTCACGAGATCACTGCTTAACTACTGACCAGTGCCCACTTAACTGGTAAAGCAGAACACGCGAGAATCAGCGGTAAAACCAGGTTCATTTATTATGACAAAAGTGACTGTATTTATACAGAAAATAAGGTAGACTGGAAATCAACCAATCCGGTTGAGAGTTGGAATTGTGCAAGCGTCCAATCAGAGAGCAGGATAATTGCATGTCAACGACTTGTTAATAACGCGATAATAACTTGACTGAGACATGATAATGACTTGATAATTGCATGTGTTTTGCCTCTTCCTAACATATTCCAATCAGTAGGCACCTTTCCTTCCTTCTAAACCTTTCGCAATAATGGCGTGAGCATATCTGCCGCAGTCTCCGAGTCTGTTTTCAATGCTTCGGCGGGAATTTTATTTGGTGTTTTCTTAGATAACATGCAATGAAATGAATAAAAAAGAAACTAATCATGACTAAACATTTGTGTATATTATTGGCGACAATGATGCATATGTGTTTTTGTCTAGCGAAAATTTATTAAAAAGTCTTATTTTTTCTTACCCTTTGATATATGTATATACATTCAGGATTGGTGAAAGTGGTTGTCGTGTAATGTGTAATGGTTTAGCCAAAAGTCGTTTTCTTGTTCATCTAAGTTTGTGTTTCTGTGGCCTTACAAAACAGTGCGGTTTATGGCTTGGAAATCTAGTCGCAGAAACTGCAATCAGGTTTGTTTATATTGGTGATATATAAATTAATTTTAAAAACAAATCATGTTTCATGCATGTGGTAAACTTGTTGGACTTTCATAAAGCAAGGCAAACTAAATTTGCAGTGTAAGACGACACCATTTTATCTTACTGGTTCTTATCATCTACAAATTGACAGAAATTACAACGGTGATAATAATTATAATAACAGCTTTATTCGAAACAGTATTTGTGGTACAGGTATGAAATTTTCAGTGTGCATTACAATATTGCATCTAATTACTTCTAAAATTTTATAAGATTTTAAAGTCTAAAAGCAACACCCCAAAAAAGAAGAAGAACAAGAAAAATTAAAAGAACAGCGTTGCGTTTACATTTTAAACAATGCACCACACAGATATGAAATATAAAATTAGTGTGTAATAGAAGATGTGAACAACAATATAATAGTAACGAGGAAAGGAAAACAAAAACTAATGGGAACTATTTGTTAGAGTGCTGCAGTAAGTTGATCGTGTCATACCTAACGGATTCCTTATCACATAACAGCTGTGCCAGATATGGTATTGTGGAGCTTTTGTACTTGGTAGTTCTAACATATAGCCACTTATAGCTGCTTCTAGTTCTACCAGAAGAAATGCAAGGAGAGAGCTGCATATAGAGAGGATTCTCGGGTCTGACAATATAGTATTCGCTAGTTTCTTACATGACATTCATTATATGTCTATCCACAATAGTGTTAACCAGTTGGTTTAACGTTATCCCACTTGCCCTACTAACGGCTTTTAGTGCCCTTCTCAGCACAGCAAAATCTTTCTTAAGTAGTCCAGGAAAGATTAATCGGGAGCAGTAAAGGGGGATGGGTAGAATACAAGAATTGACAAACTGAGAAAGCAAAGACTATACTGGCGTATAAAATTCTTCGAAATGAATCATTTTAGATGTCCACTTACCCTAAGAAGCTTTTTTTTTTTACTATCATTTTCTTTCAAACTCTCTAGAAAGCTTAACTTCTTACTGATCAGGTTACACAATATGAGTGCGTTTGATCAAGATAACTTACAACAGCTACCAAAGACGAAGCCATTGTACCTAAAAATTCGATTTGTCATGCTTTGTCAAGATAAACCATATCCTCTATTGTTCTGTTTCAAGGCTTTTTAATTATGAACGTAATGCCTAGTGATCACTGAATAATATTCGGTCATGTTTTGCAACAGTGGTTTCGAAGAATTTGACCATTCTAAGTAATATGTTTATATGTGATGCACAGTAGGCGGCCCAGTGGTAGAATACTTGCCAACCACGCCTTACTCTTCAACTACAGGCGAAACTGACGAGAGTAGCAGAGCAAGAATCGGAAAAGCAAGACAAGCATTCATTACTCTCAAGTCTGTGCGCAGGTCAACAGTACTCAGCATGAAAATGAAAATAAGATCCGGATTTTCAAATCCAATGTGAAGTCAGTGCTACTTACTATACGGATCAGAGACTTGGCGCGTCATAAAGAGCATCTCAAACAAACTTCAGACCTTCATTACTCAAGATCAGATGGCCGGCCAGAAAAGGTCAGCAACAGGGATCTCTGGCAATGAGCGAACCAACGGGGAACCGATTGTGCAACAAATCTGCAGGAAGAAATGCAGCTGGACTTGCCAAACTCTGAGAAAACAAACCATCAAGTGACATCACAATACAGGCTATTGCTCGGAGGGAACCCGAAAGGGAAGCGGCGAGTTGGTCGTCAGTGCAAGGGTGACTTGGAGGAGGTCATGTGAAGAGGAGATGCAAAAATGTGGGCAGACGTGGAGCCAGGTGAAAACGTTGGCAGAAAACCGAACGCAATAGAGACGCGCGGCGCCTTACGTGGCCCGCAGTTTGACTCCCAACTGGCACTCTTCTAAACATCGTCCAACCCGTAGTAGTAAGCCTGTCAAAGAGGCAAGTTTGTGTGTGGCTGGGAGGCTAGCAACCCTACTCCATAAAACAACATTACTGCCAATGAGAGTTCAAAGCTCAAGAGTGGAACCCTATGCCCCCAAATGGAATTTAAAGCAATCGAAAAAATGTTATGCACAGACTGAAATTAATTAGTATTGCTCTGAAAGTCATATATTTTTATGAGTAGCTTCAATAATCCTGTGTTCATTCAAAGAATCGAGTTATATGATTGACTGAGATATATACCATTCTCATAATAATTACGTGGTAATAGGTAATTATTTTGGATAAACGAATAATTTCCATCCATGCATTATTTAAAACAGCTAGGAGTCGCGCTATCTCGTGAATTGGCAGAAGTTAGAATTCATGGGCCGTTGTATCGGGTCCCAGTGGCTTAATGGTCTACGAGCTTGTAACCAGAAGATCCTGGGTTCGAACCCTGGCAGTGGGTGCGTACTGATGAAGAGTCCCAAACTGGGATGAAACAGCCGTCCAGTACTCCAAGATTTTCCAATGGTTTTCTAACTAATATCAGCTCATGATGAAATCCTGTAACCAATCAATCGAATCCCTACAAACCAACACTTTAATTATTTAATTCATTTTTAACTTTCCGGTTGATTGATTAGACCGAAGTGCTCGGCCTCAATGGGAATATCCAAATTGAGTTAAATAAATTACTGATATCGATTGCACAAGAAATATGTGGCTCTCGTGGCCTAAGTAGTCTATAGTGGATAGCGCTTTGGAGTTTGAAATTGTTGGTATTTGGACCGACTGTCAATGGGAACACCATCATTCGATGGGAATGTAGGCATATCAAGATTACGAATCTCAAATAGGACGAAATCCGCTTCCTGGATTCCACTGCTAGTCATCGTCCACCAATTTACCATAAAATAAGTAGTTCAACAAGGAGTGTATTTTCGATGGATTCATTTTTTAATCTGTACCAATTGCACTTATGTACAGTTTCTCATGGAAAAGGGTAGCAACAGTAGTGATGAGTTGTTATAATCATATTTGTGAATAATACTTAGTGCATAAGAGGAGTTGAATAAGTGTACCTGAGTTGCGTAATAAGATGAGCGATTTATCTAGCAAGTTGCGAATACTAAAGAAAGAAGATATTGAATTGCATAAAAGTTCTAAAGAAATACATGAGCTATAAGGACTTACAAACATAAACAAAACAAAATTAATTTGATAGAAATCAACAAAGTTCTTAGCATGACAGTAGAAATGGTTGAATAATTTTCTTTTGTATGCGGAGCTCCAGTTTCTTTATTTGAATGGCTAGAGTTTCAGAAATGCAAAGGAGACGAAAACCTATTTTCTTTGGTAGGCTGTTCTTCACTCTGCCGATTACTTTGAAGTCACCTCTTATTTAGATGGAATGACCAGTGATGACAAGGTGTTCAGTTATCGTATTTCTTATGGAGTCACTACTACCTTTCTGCGCCCATGTGGGATAGTGTTTTTCAACACTTTTTTGACAGGATACCCGTCGAACAACCGGTTTACTTGGCTCAGCAAGAACAGGTGGGCTGATACTAGCACATACAAGTGGTCAGATTCGATATATTGTCTCTAGCGCTTCTGCTGACGACCACCGGACGACTGGGAAACATTACTTTTAGCGCTGCTCCGAATAACGCTCATCCAAGAGATGATAGAATTCTTCTCCTTAGGATATCATAGCTCAAGTACCCCTCGAAATCCAGGTTTATGTAAAGTTTCTTTTCTGTTACAAGTAATTCTGTTTTTCTCTATACCTTTGATTTGATGTCCTTGTTAAGGAATCCGATAGGTATCCATTTGGATGAATATTTCTCTTATATGGTCTAGTTTTGCTTCTAGACTGTCAAGGCTCCAGATTTGTCGAATGTTAGTAGCAAGGGATCTAATTAAACGTCATTTTCATTGAACAAGGATAGTTTGGCGATACGTAATCGTCTCCCTATGATCTTTTCTGATTGGCAGATATGTTTATGGAAACTATAGTAATGATAGATTATGCTCTTAGTTGGCTGATATAAGTTTATACAACTCGTAGTATAGTTGTTAAGTCATTTCTTTCTGTTTTGAACAAAATAGTGTGACATTTTGCCAGTGATAATTACTCAATCAATTGATGAACCGAAATGGCTCAGTAGCAAAGTCTTTGACTACAGCACCGGATGATACAGACGTGAATCTTCGAGTGGTTATCAGTTCCTTTCAGATTGTAGACAGGTCTTGTTAACTAATGCTAAAAGGCCTGAAACTTTGATCCATTACTTCAGAGCTAGTATATCAGACACTAGAATCACTTCTTACAGTATTTCATCATGAGATGACGTCGATTAGAGAACCATTTGAAAACCTAAGAGTACTGAACACCTGTTTCTTCCTAGTTTGAGACTCTTCAAAGCACCCATCCGCGGCCAGGGATAGAATTCAGGGCCTTCTGGTTACAAGGCTAGCGATCTCGTCGACCATTAAGCTACTCTGGGACCCGACCGAACGACTAACCCATGAATTCTAACTTCTACCAATTCATGACATAGAAAGACCGCTAGCCAATGTCTTCGGCGGGTATTTGTCCTCACACCCAACCTGCTACACTCTACTCGTCACGACTTTCTACTAGAACCCAAGGCAACTACCTACCTAAATAGGGCCAGATGCCAGTGAGCATCTCATTGATATTTAAGTATTGGTTTGTTGGGATTTGATTGATTGGTGACGGGATTTCATCATGAGCTGACATCAGTTAAAAAACCATAGGAAAACCTAGGAGTACGAGATCGCTAGCCTTGTAACCAAAAGGTCCTGAGTTTGAACCCTAGCTGAGGGTGGGTGCTGTGAAGAGTCCCAAATTAGGACGAAACAGGTGTCCAGGACTCCTAGGTTTTCAAATGGTTATCTAACTGATGTCATATCATGATGAAATACTGTAACCAATTATTCAAATCCCTACAAACCCGTACTTGAATAAGAATTATTTCTTTTGAAATATTCTAAGTAACTTTATCTTAATTTGATTTTTTTGAGTTCCAAATGGAACATTTTTCCTCAAGCTTGCGCTTTGAAGTTTAGGTATCGGTAGTGTTGTTGTTTACATGGTAAGGTTGGTAAACTTTAACCAGTGTTCCCGATTTACTGGACTTACTAATACTTTAGTTAAGTCAGGTTGAAGAGTCGATTATCCGGGTATCGAACTCGAGCTGCATATATGGTTGGCGAGCATTTAACCATTGAGCCACCGACGTATGCGGAATTTTTTTTAGCAAGATACTGAAAAACACAAACTGCTTCCCAATAATTTTAGTCTGCGCTGTTATTTGACTGTCGAGGGAAAATTACTGAAATAATTAGAACACTCATTTCGTAAATTGTTTTATTCACAAAGTAATAATTAGTGTGACTGCTAGTCTGTCTTTCTAAAAAGTCTAGTAAACTGTTTTGTTTTAAGGGAACTTATTTTAGACGGTAATTATCTAGAAGCTGAAGGTACAATAGCTCTACTTAGTCGACTGTCGGATGCTGCAGACAAAGAAGGATTTGAACGTGCTGAAGAAATAAGGAAAAAGCAATTAGCTGTAGAGGAGGCTAAAAAACGAAGTAAGATATCGATTTTGATATTTGTTTCTTATCATGTCAAAATATGCTATTCAATATAATCTGATATAGTTGTAATACAGTTATCAGTTGGAAGCGTAATTCAACATAATTGTGGGATACTACTGGATTCTTTTATAACTGGTTTTGACCTTAAATCTTTACTTAGTTTTATGAAAGACTGTGCGAAATTCACGTTTCAGTTTTGTTGACTGGTGGTCAGACTATCTGAAACAGCCTTGGATTAGCAGAATACTGCTGATGGTAGTAGGGAATGATTTAAGGTTGTGGTGAGAGCTGTCTGATAGCCAAAATTGGTGGACAGCAATTTACGTCAATGTTTACTTCCCAAATCTTCGTCATGAGGAAAAAACAAGAACAAAGACTTTGCGTGGGCGGATACGATTCACAGATATATCGTCTAACCTTCAATGAAACGGCCACAAACATATGACAGAATAACTTCCAGTGATAAAATGACCAATCAGAAGACGCTGTTTCTCTGCTAATAATAACGAATAATAATGTACATAAAAATATACAAATATCTCTTGATTTCTTACAGGATTTCATCATGAGCTGACATTAGTTAGCGAACCATTGGAAAACCTAGGAGAACTGGACACCTGTTTCGTCCTAGTTTGGGACTCTTCAGCAGTAAGCACCTACCGGGATTCAAACCCAGAAGCTTCTGGTTACAACGCTAGCGGACTCGTATACCATCAAGCCACTTGGACCCAATCCAATTGCCCATGAATTCTACCTTCTACCGATCGGCGATATAGCGCAACTGCTAACCAATGTCTTCAGCGAGTATTTGTCCTCACACCCGACCTGCTGCACCCTACTGGTCATGACTTCCCACTGGAACCCCAGGTAACTACCTACCTGAATAGGGAGAGTCGCCAGCGAGCATCTCATTGATATTCAAGTATCGGTTTGTGGGGATTTAATCAATTGGTTACAGGATTTCATCAGAAGGGCCTGGGTTCGAATTCCGGGTGGTGCGTACTGATGAAGAGTCACAAACTAGGACGAAACAGCCGTCCAGTACTCCCATGTTTTCCAATGGTTCTCTAACTAATATCAGCTCATGATGAAATCCTGTAACCAATCAACCAAATCCCTATAAACCAATACTTGAATCTCTTGTTTTCCTGGATAAGCGATCTGTTGCCTGGCCCTTGTCTTCTGTCGTTACAAGTCGAGATCCCAGCAGTAATGTAGAGTCAATGCTTCTGTATGGTTCAGAGACAGGTTGTAGACTTTTTCGACAACTGCCTTCTCTGTATACTGCCCGTCAGATGGCTAGGAAGGATTTACAACAACAACCTTTGGTAAGGAAGCAATCAACAGCATACCGCCAAACAAACACGCAGAAGAAAACAGAGATGGATTAAACACAGGCACCATGCAGGCTATTGTGATTGGAATGGGAATAAGAGATGATGGGTTAGGTGTTGTTGGTCAGGAGGTGATAGTGAGACGATCGTATGAAGAGATGATAGCTTATGGTCAGTCGTCCGACCAAGTGACACATAATACAACTTTAGAGATATACTGCAGAAGCCCTTTGTTCCTCTCAGAAAAAAAAGAATAGTAATAATTCATGGGACTACTGTGGTGAGAGCTGTCTAAAAGCCTAAATTGTGAACAACGATATACGTCAATGTTTACGTCTCGAATCGCGGTCAATAGAAAAAAAAGCAAGAACAAAGCCTAACCTTGAGGAAATCAGCAACCAATCATCACAGCAGACTTAACGTGTGCAAATACTATCCGCGGACATATACATAACTTTGCAAGCAACGGTCACAAACAGGAGAGAATAAACTTCAGCAAGAAAACAACCAATCAAAAGACGTTGTGTCTCTGCTAAAATAACTAATAATAATGTGCATATAAATCTATAAATATATGTTGATTTTCTCAATAAACGATCTGTTGTCTGGCCCTTGTCTTCTGTGGTTACACTGTGAGCAATCTATGTCCGGAATGATACACGTTGTTAAATCATTAAAACGTAAAACGGCTGACTATATACAGTATAACTAGACGAATATTCCTGAAGAAAAAAGAAAGGTATTTGGCTAGGTGAGAAGAAACCACGAAATAATAAAGAATGATGAACTTATATTATCCTGGTACACTTATTATTCTTTCTCTATTCAAATACAGTTTGAATCATTACTGTCTGCTTGTTTTAAAAAACATTCTTTTTCTTTCACTTCATTATTAACAGACAGGATCAATTTAGACGCATTGCCTCCAGCCGAAGGAGAACCAGATGAAAATACTGAGCCACCTGCCCAGCCTCCGTCTTCACCCCCAACACCATCAAGTAAGACAAACTCGGCAAAAAGTTCTAAAAAGAAAAAGAAAAAGTCATCTAAATGTAAGTTGTCTCTATGCATTTTTTGCTATTAATTTAAAAATATACTTTGATGATGATGTCTAGTAGATAAATATGCAGATGTTTTAGAAGTAACAAGCAGTGGTATGTTAACTTATGCGTCGTTTGCCGCTGCTTTTTATCCTGATATACTAAAATTTGTGCTTTATAATTAATTTAGTCATTTGAAGTGGTGATTTCATATACATTAAGCATGGCTGATACACGTCGTCAACACCGTTTATTTTTCACAAACTTCATACACTTATTGCCCTTTATGAATAGGAAGAAAGAAAACAGACGGTTTGTGTACCATCACTTATTTCGCCAGCTTCTCATCAGCTGCGTATAGAGTAAAAAAAAATAATTCATTAAGTTTATGTACAGAAGACATCTTCATCTACAGCTGTCTTCGCTGAATACTCAAAAAACAGATGGCCGGCCAGAAAAGATCAGCAACACGGATCTCTGACAATGAACGAACCAACCCAACAGCAGGAACCAGTTGTGCAACAAATATGCAGGAAGAAATGCAGTTTGGTGGATTAACCATACTCGGAGAAAACAAATCATCAAGTGACATCACACACCAGGCCATAGTTCGAGCGGAACCCAAATGGGAGGCGGTGAGTTGGTAATCAGTGCGAGGGTGACCTAGAGGAGTGTTATGTACTCGTCGAGTAGTTAATAGTCCTGACGCGGAAAGAGGGAAATCAAAAGACCACCAGGTTTTCGATGATACTTGTATTTTCCAGACAAGGAAAATAAATGTCACACAAGAGTGTGAGTGAAGTGGTACGTATGTACGAAACGTGGGAACAAGAATGATAAAGCAAGAGTATATATGAAAATGGCTAATGCACATGAACCAATAAGATAAAGTCTTACCATGATTGGTTGTAATGTCATGTGATAACAAGGTTATACGTTGTTTATTTAGTTAGTGGACAGACAAAAGCATATTGTCAGTTATAATGGAATATCGATCCATATACACAGCAAAATATAACAGACTCAAAAACAGAACACACATCATGTGAATACCTATCAAGGAGGTCGTACGAAGAGGAGATGAGAGCATGTAGGCAAACTTAGAGCCAGGTGTAAACGTCGTCAGAGAACCGAACGCAATGGATATATGCGCGGCTGAAGACCTATTTTCCTCTAGGAATCTAACGAGATAATACTAATAACACAGAACAGCTTTAACATACTTTAAAAACTGAATAAATAGTGCCAAGAAACTACTCTTATATAGCCTATACCCAGAAAGTTCAACCTTAAACAAAAAAATAAACGCTTGGATACAATGGCTAGGGAGTTACGTAACACAGGCAAGAGGTGACTAAGATGAATAACTAATAGACTGAGCTCTTGTCTATTGACTGAGCACCAATATGATGTATTCAAGTCATATCATAGAAACAGAAGACAAGCAAAGTTACACTACATGTAGCTAAGGGAGAAGAGATTAAAGCTGGAGATTACGCAACCAAATGAGAGAGAGAGTAAGGACTGATAACCGCTTTCTCTGAACACACAAAAAGGGTTCCAAACGTTTGATAGCGATTGCTCCAGTGAACAAAGAGAATTGAACTGCTTATTTTATTGATAATTTTAGAGAATTTTTAGTGATGTCCACTTCATGACCCAAATCGATGAGATATCTGCCAGTGGCACTGTTGTAAGTGTTTGTTCCCTTGAGATGTAGTCTTTTTGAAGCGTGTCAGGTCTCTGAATGACATACAATTGCTGATTTGACATTAGAAATTCGGATCTTGTTCCTTGCGATGGGTTCAGTAGATTTCCACACTGAATTTCCGTCTTGTTTTTCCAATCCTGACCTTACTTCCACATCCTCATCCGTACCACTTGTAGGTAAGAGGACATTGCCCAAGTAAGTGGAAGAGACAAATTCCTTCAGATTTCTTTCACTGACAGTGACTGATGCTTGTTATTGTTGGTTAGATGTCTCCAACACCTTTATCTTCTACATGTCCCCTTGAAGTCCTGTCCACTCTGCCTCCCTTCTGTCAGCTTGTCAGTTTTTGCCTGTAGATCTTTGAGTTTGTCTGACATTAGAGATAAGTCATCAGCACGGTATAGATCTTCTGAAGTTTTCTTGTCTTCCCAACATATGTCAGTCTTCTGGCTTGTTACTTGATCGTGTTTACTTGCTACTTATAAGTTACTTTTATACTGGGTCTTTTGACTAAAATCTGCCATTACTCCCATGAAATGCAGATTCTCAACTATCGTAGAACCTCACAAATAATAAATTCGAATTCCTTATTATTTTATATCTGGTGAGTTTCTGTTCAGAGTTTTATGTTACTGAACATACAGATAGATAGTCAAACGCTCAGCTTCAATCTTGTTTCCAGCTTAAGGTCCTTGTGAATAAGATGGGGAAATGTTTCATAAAGTCTTTTGAGAACTCTGATAACTTGGACTATTTGTCAGATGAAACTTTTGTAATCAGAGATTTACAAACATTTTACATTTCTAAAGATTATAACAGGTTTCTTCAGTAGTATTGTGGTGGTGTGATACAAACAATACGTTCCAGCGGAATTGTCTTCTCAAGTCCTCGACCACTTCTTCTACGACCTCCAAACTTTTCTGTGAAAGAGAAGTCAATATCTATCTATCTATCTTGTGCCTCAGGCTGGTTTTCCGTCACTCCAACCTAGTGGCCATCTTCATGAGCCTCCTGTACTTTCCTATGAGCCACCATGTTTGCAAACACACCTTTGCCGTCATTAGCCTTACAGAGATTCTTGTTGTTTATAATAACTAACGGCTTAGTAGACTGACGCATGGCACTGTACTCTTCCAACCTGTGGCTTTTAGGTTACTCTTCAAAAGGTGTTTCCAAAACGTTATCCGTTGCCTATTCAGTCTCTTTTGAGGCGTCATCCAACTGTTCGTCTACCTCAGTATGCTTCTCTTCCCAACGTACAACTTGTTCTGCATCACCACTTTCAGGTGCTGCCTGAGCATCCACATCATGTGGGTTCCATTTCCCATCTCTCCTACTATACCGTCTCGGCCCTTTCAAACCAGGAACGCTCTGATGATCAAAATCCTGATTTGAGTTGAACGGCATACCACGTGCTTGACCAAACTTTTCCCTTCCTCGGCCTCTTTCACGTCCTCTTGATTCGAAACCATACCCTCTTGGTGCGTTCACATCACCTGCAAAGTTTTGGAGTGACTCCATTAGGGCTATCCGTGGACCCTAACCTCTGATTCCGTGCATCCTGCGTGGCGCTCCTTCGCAGCAGAGTTCTGTGCATCCTCTGATGAAACAGGTAGCAGATCTGTAGAACTTGGAGACTTTAGACGTCGAGGGGCATTTTCCGGGATTATTGTATCAACTTTTGCCTCAGTCTTGACAACAACCTTCGCAGGTGTAACCTGCTGTTGTTGTTGTTGCTGAGCATGAGACTTCTCCTTCCTAGTTTCCTTGATCGTTTGGTTTGTAATTTGGATAGTAGAATATCCGGGTCCTCACTATTCATAGGATCATCCAGGAAAAGTTAGAACCTGCTCTTCACCTCGAATGAATACTGATAGGTGTGGTCAATACCTACCTTAACTACAAACCACACCGTGTGAAAAGGTTCAACATCACCACTGTACGTTAACAACGAAAGCAGAAGATGGACATACGGTAAAGGGGAGGTACCTAGCATTCAAGAAGGAAGATCAGTTTAAATGTAGAGATAGGCGAAATACTAGTGGATACGCGCCAGGGTCACGCGAACTGCTTGCAAAGTAAGAAGTACCATACACAGTCGCCGCAAAACAGGGGCACGTATATACCATCAAAAATGCAAACAGAGAGAAACGGGTGAACGTCAACGAACTCCAGAAATGGATACAGAGAGATAAGCAAAGGAAGACGCCAGCACCAAGAAGATCGAACCGACTTCAGTTTAAATTATTTTACGGGGATACGAGCGTGGTGGTGTGATACAGGCAATGTTTTCCAACGGAATATGATTCTTACATATTCCCACAGTTCAATACGGCATTAGTAACAGAATACGACATATATATTTGAACATTCTGTTTGCTGCTAGAGTTAAATGAATATACACTTTGGCTCCCGTATCTTGCCTCCTGCTGTTATAGTATACCTTCATCTGTTGAAAACTGTAGACTCCTGGTAAATTAGATAGTGTGACCTTAGGGGATAACTCACAGAAATCAAAGCTAATCAAGCACATAAATGCTTAAATTCTGACAGCTAAATTTGGCGATCAAAAGCTGTTGTCCGAATCATTAAGTCGAAAAGTGCAACCTATTGAGGGTTGTCAGTATACTGAAATATATAATAATTATGATCACAAATGTCACTGGAAGTTAGAAAAGAACACCTGACTTGTTCAATTCACGAGTACCATCTCCTCGTATGAACAAACCAAGGAGGTATCAGTCTATGGTTTACTTTCACACTTTAGGTTGAAAAAGCAATAATTATTCACAGAGAACTCATTGCACCATACATCATAAAAAACAAAAAGATGGTTGCAGCGAAGAAGTCATCAATCAGACTGTCCATTCATGTGAATACATAACAGCACGGATTGCAGTGATGAGTTCTTGATTCAATCGTAGAACGCTCGCCAACCACGCTTGTAGTATGGGGTTAGAATCCCTGCCTATCTTACAAACCGGAAGTAAGCGCGAAGAAGAGGAAAGGTTTGGCGTAAGGCTACTCTCCATAGAATAACAGCACCATAGATACTGGAACTTGAAAGCTCAGAGTACTACTGCCTTCCACTAGGGACTCTCAAAGGGATGAGAAAGATAAAACTGATTACAATAACAGTGGAAACCTTTTTCTGGCGGCTGTTACTGTGATCAGTCAGTACCATAAATAACTAATTAGTGTAAGAATAAATATCATCAATATTGAAGTAAGGGTTAATTTTATATCTCATTACGTGAACTTGGATACTAAACATTATTTGCAAATACAATTTCACTCTCAT